GTGGCGTTACAATTGATGAACATTTAGAAAGATCTAATTTCGAATTTGCAGGAAATGTATTAACTGAAGTATGGAGTTCAATAGAAATTGATGGCTATAATGTTGATGCAAAATATGTTGGGGCAGGTGAACAAGATCTTCCTGATTTTCCAGACATTAAATGGTATTCAGAACATGTGCGTGAGAGCCAGTACTTGCTTCAAATTGTAAAATGTAGAAATACAGAGTGCTGTCGTCCAAGAAGTGGCCTATTTAGATTACTAGACAATAGGTTTCTTCCACCACCTGTAAAAGTAAAACAAACAGTTGATGACTTGGTTTTGGATGAAGGAGGGCAATTTCTTAATCTTCCAGTCAATTTAGCTCTACGCTTAAGTGCTTCACTCAAATATTTCCTGCAAATGCCCTTCGATTATTTTTGTCCGTCGGTAAAATTGAGGCTATCAAGTCGAACATGCAAAACGTGTGGTCTTTATCGTGCTTCCGTCAAGTCACTAAATCGAAGATATTTGTCATGAAAATCCAGAAATAAAAAAAAAGACTACCTCTGAGAGATTCAGTGGGACGTCCTAATCTTGAAAGCAATCAACATTCACTAAATCGTCACACCGAAAATATCCATAAAAAAGTCAACACGTACACTGATAGTAAAGTTAGACCTGTAAGGTTCGCTGCTCGTCGTGCTAATGAACTGATGTGCATTATTCAAAATTTAGAGCACCATTACGTTGAATGGCTCGATGAGAACGACGTAGACATTTCAAAATCCGATGAAAGCGAGCAAACTCACAACACTGAGCAGCAATGGAAGCAATATAATGTCATCGAAAACTTAGAATCATGGATTCTGGTTTCATGGACTGAAGATTGTTAATCTGAATTTAATATATGTACCAACAATTTAAAATAAGTTTGTTATGTTAGTAAGATATAATATTTTTGTCCTTTACTCTATGTTGAATATCGTCTCAGTAAAATATAATCTCTATCCTAAATCTATTTTCTTATTTTTCAAATTATAATTATAACGTTATAAGTATAATATTAAAAAAAACAATACATTAATTGACAAATGTTTACATAAGCATGGGGGGAGGCGGTAAGAGATTTGCTTACTTTTGCTGACATGGGAGATGGGGGGGGGGGTAAATAATTGTAATAAATCTGCTTACGTAATACCTGAACGGCCCCTTATTGCAAAATTTGGAAGCTTTGACATTACAGAATAAGCACTTCTATGTCATGGATTGTTGCTGTCAAGTCTCGAATACAAAAGAACGCCCGGCATTTCTATAAATTGTAACCAAACGCAAGTGCTGCCTTTAATCACGCAAATAGCTATATCCTAAATGTCACAGTGTGAAATTTCATATTTGTCCACAGCATAATAGAAGTACCATCCATTGGTAGTAAGTACCTACGGCCGCCCGCTTGATAAATACCATCATGGGCGTCTAGTTGGCAAATAAGCCATTACCATGGGTTATTTTCCGCACTGGTGCAGCCCATGTAGGTGGTATTTTGCATCTCACACCTGTGGTACTCCACTTACGACGTTCCTCGCTTTTTAGTACCGATCGTTTGTTTCTGATCATATCGTCGTATACTTTAGATTTTATCGCTGTTTGATCTGCGGTACCACCTAGCAAAGCTCGGTTCTTTTCTGTATGGGTGTACCTGAGATTGGTCTTTCGCAAAAAAAATTATTCGAGAGATTGAAATAGCTTTGCAACATGCTGGGCAACACTTTTTAGCGAAAATGCCAATGGGTACCGTACATAGATAACTTCTTAAAAGTGCTCACTGAACGGGTTTCGAGCCACAGCTAAAACAGACGCAGTGGCGTACATTAGAACTGCCCATTTTGATACTATTTGTTGTTATTTGTTAAAATAGTCAGTTGGAGCGACGTTTGACTTATATCTCTAAGAGCCAGTCTAGTTTAAGTGCATTTCTACCAAAAATGAGTTCTATATGTTGAGCCCATAATAATAATAATAATAATATGAATTTTCATTTATTACTTTCAGCGTTCACCTACCCAGAATAATAAGGAAGCTACGTCCTTATGAAGCATGTTAAATCACATCTTGAATATACACAATATTTTATTTTACTCTATTCGTACATTTCTCAACACATACAAGATACAATTGCAGAGGAACACTATACAAGTGTTGTCACGGACTTTAGATATAAGACTCATTTTAGGAAAAAATTGACTCGACATAGCCTCCATTTTGTTTTGTTTATATGTACGTAGTCGTGCCATAAGTTCTGTCCCATGATAATCTCATGATAAAAATGAAACAAGATAAGATATATTTATATGAAAGATATTATTTATTCGACAACATTTTTAGAATTCATAATCAAACAGTTTTATTCAAAATGTCCCCCCTTGGCCTTCACACACTGCTTCAATCTCGCGGGCCACTCATCTATCACTGCACGCACAGCTTCCAAAGGAATAGCTGCCGCTGATCGGATCAAATCCGCTTTCAGGGACTCGATATTACGGTGGGCTTTGGAGCAGGCCAACTGCTCTAGCAGGTCCCACAACTTGTAGTCTAAAGGATTGAGGTCCGGACTCCCTGAGGGCCAATCTTCCGCAGCAATGAACTCTGGCACATTGCTTTCCAGCCAGCGCTGCGTACTCTTAGCCTTGTGAGCGGGGGCGGAATCCTGCTGGTAGACCCAGTGTTGGTTGGCAAACAATGTACCACTTAAAGGCTTGACGATAGGATCCAGTATGTCGCTCTGATAGTTTGCCGCTTTTGTTTTCACGCCCTGTTTACAGAAATGGAGCTGAGTGACCCCTTCGTAGGACACCCCCCACCAAACCATGACTGACGCAGGGTGGTGGCCTCTCTCAACTCTCGGAATGATCTCCGAAGCTTCCTGTGAACTCCTTGCATACACTTTGTCATTTTGTCGGTTGAATTTTTCTTCTATGGTGAAGATTTTCTCATCCGTGAACAAAATCTTTCGGAATCCCCCAGCTGCGTACCTCTCCAAGAGCTTCTTGGATCTTGTCGCCCTGATGTGTCGCAAGGTGGCCGTAAGTCGCTGGCCCGTACGTCTCCGGTAAGCCCCTAGCCCTAGGTCTTGTTTAATGATGCGCGACATCGTCCGGACAGGAATCTTCATTTCCCTGGATAGGATCTTCTGCTTCCGGAGTGGATTCCTTTGAATCCTGGCTTTTACGGCTTTGATGGCTGCTGGAGTCCTTACTTGACGAGGTCTTCCGCTTCTTGGCCTGTCATCAACAGAGGACGTCTCATTGTACCGCTGAATGGTCCTAGACACAAATTTACGCGATATTTGAAGGCCGCGTAAGAGTTCAAAAATCTGACTAGCACTGTGATTACACTTATGTAAAGCTATCACTGCAATACGGTTCTCTGCCTTGCCCCACTCCATCGTTATGCTTCGAGAGATCAATACAAACTGAGGTATATGTAATTACCCGAAAAGCGCTTAATCAACTGACACCACAATGTAAACAATCGGACAAGTATTAACAGGTCTACACTTGTTTGAAAACGAGGGACAGAACTTATGGCATGACTACGTATATAAAATATACTAAGGAGTGCAAGACATTTTCTTAAGTCATAAACATGAGTCAGGAAGTCCGGAAACATACATACCATTGGATTTTCGCAGAAATAAAAGTCGTTTTCCTGACGCCATATTGAATCTGCTTGTAAATAGTCTCTTAATAAAAAAGTGACTTTGCAAATAATTTTTATGCCTAAAATGGTATTTCTAAACAAAAATCTTAAAGAGGCATGCAGAATATATCAAGCATTTAAAAAAACTGTGGCGTGTCGTACTCATTTTTCACGCCCATGGCTAGGAAGTATTGTAATAGTGAAATATTCCGAAAATGAGATACCATGGTTGTTGGATGTTATATGACATCATAGCCTCTGTCTGTCATTTTGTAGTCTATGACTTGGAAAGTACCTGATGGATTTTGATGAAATTTTGATACAACGGAAAGGCTTTTTGGTTTTTGAAAATCGATCCAATAGCAGAGGAACTTCCAGTCTCTGTGACTTTACGCACCTATTAGTCATATTTCTCACATTATAGGTCTCTGTCTACTTGTCCTTAAAACTTAGAATAATAGAGAAATATTTTCAATATACGCGTCTCACGCAACGCATCTAAAGCTGATATATTTACTTCGAGATCTGATCGATGTCTGAATGGTGTCTGACCGATAGGTGGGTAGGGAGTATCGAGGATAGTCATAGCAATTTCTATAGCACGGGGTTGTCAAATGGATGGGGACATTGGAATAATTTTATCGGTCTGTTTGACTGACTAGATACAATAACTTTTTCTGTGATTCATATTCCTGGCAAACTTTTTTCTCAGAGGGGCCATTTTTTGCTAAACATAGAAACTTGCCAAACACAAACGCTACTGATGCAAATGATTTCGAAATTGTTTTCGTACAGGTATTGCGGCCTTTGACAATACATTCCCACGTACCAAAACAATATCTAATTTTTTCTCAAGAAATTTTTGAAATATCAAAGACGAACAATTTTATACACTCATATGTTATGAAAACTAAGTATTCTAGAATCTGGACGCTGTGCTTATATTGTAACGCTCTAGTATAATTAGAACCTTGAGTAACGATGAGACGCCCTCACAGTATCGACACTTAGGCAACCAGGGTTACGCGACCATGCGAGAGCGCTTGCGGCTATCTAGTCGACTTTTACGAAGGCTCGATGTCGATCGAGAATAAGCGGTAGCGTGCTTCTGGAATTCACTGATGGGAAATAAATATACGCATGATGGCGGTGTGACACATTCGTACAGTTGACACGGACGATGAGTCACTACAGAGCGCGACAGTTCAGTCGACATGGTTATAAATTTGTCTCAAATTAGGCCTTAAGCATCAACATCACATTTCACATGCCTAACTTGCCTAAAAGTTCTCCTAAAAACCACGTTCTCTTTGTTCCAGATCCATGCGAAGAGTGACAGAACACGCCAAGCAGCAACTAGAGGAGCTCAACTGTAAGCAAAAACCACATAAGCAAAAACAGAAAGCTGCACCTCTCAGCAAATACCGGCGTAAAACAGCAAACGCCAGGGAAAGAAACCGTATGCGAGAAATCAACCAGGCATTTGAAACTCTTCGTAGGGTGATCCCGCATGTCCATCAAGCCGCCCCTCCGCAACTCCCACCGGCCAATGAGAAACTTACCAAGATCACCACTCTAAGATTAGCCATGAAGTATATCTCCACCCTTACAGCTGCGCTTAATGGTCCCAGTGAGATCGAGTCAGTTTCCGACTATAGTGATTTTGATTGTCTATTTCTCGAATCGGACGGTGAATCAGTGCCTTTATCCGATCACTCAGGATCGCTCATGGCCTCCCCTGATTTTCCCGAGCCGTCCCTGTCGCCCGTCGATTTTGGCGATCCATCGTTGCCAGCTTTGCTGCATACGGACTTTACAGAACATTCATTAGAGCCGGATGACTTCAGCGATTTTTTGTTGACGTGATATGACGTGAATTTAGACTTTTTTATAGGATATTTACGAAATTATTTTCTGCAATATAGACAGGAAAGTTAGGAATACTAGTTCCAGAGTTGAATGTTGAAGATTTGCAATGAATAGGTACAAGGAATTTTTCGAAACATCATGTAAAAACTCTGGTTTCTAAGAATTTATATTTTTTTTTTCCGAAAAAATGTCTTAATTACGAACCACAAATGGACAGTGTGTTATAGTACTTCTATGCCCAATTGAAACAGCAAAAAAATCCAAGTTGGCGTTACATATGAAACAATGATCAGCTTCAATATTCCAGTACTTCTTTAGACACAAAACACTAGTAAAAGCAGGATAGTAATAAAACAAAAACACAAAATGCATATGTTTTTTGGGAGACCTGAATTTTTATCCGTTTCAATTAAGATTGGAAATATAGAGTGGCGCAAAATGAAAGCTATGGTTTGAATTATTTATAACGTACCCGTATATCAAAATTCACTTTTTATTTTCAAGAATTGCTAGAGAAGACTTGGGAATTTGATATAAAGCGATATAGAGTAATACCATATATCAAAATAGTTTTTTTCTTTTTAATGTCCTAGATCTGGTACGCGCTTCTGAAAAAACTATGTGTTTAAGGATCAGCCAAGACACATTATTTACTTAAAAGACAATATCGTTAACGAAATCGTCAGTACGAGAAACAAAAGATGGACGACCTTTAGATCTTATCATGTATACCTTATTTTCAATTAGTATAGCATATCTTTAAGACACATCGCACAAATAAAAATGTTATAAAGAATTTGAACCATAACGTTAATTTTGCCCCTCCGATACTATACAACCCAAAACCACACAGACTGCTAATCAGCGTAAATGGCAACAGTGGCTTGATGCTGCCCGTCCAGCGGTGTGAGCGTCGGTTAAGCAGGGGGCAGGGGGTTGAGTGATATATTAAGTATTGCGACTAGTTGGGTATTGCGACTAGTTGGGTATTGCGACTAGTTGGGTATTGCCTTGCCAGTGTTGCCATTTACACTGCCTATGACACTTCAGTTGTGTAATTATTGACTTATTTAAAATTCACGCTAAAATTGATAAGATCGCCAACACTGTGCTTAGGTTTAAAATATATTGAATAGGTATCTTTGTTCGAGATATTTTTAAGGATAAATGACAAATATAGTGAGTCATTGCATAATTATATGTAAATATCTGTAAGATATACATATTTTTATACAAGCTTTTCGTCTGAATGACTGGCCACAGAGGATGCTGGTGAATATGAAAGAGAATGACTCAGGCCAAAGCAAATGTTATACTGAATTAATTACAGGAATTTATGAATATAATTTTATAAAAAAAAGAATCCAATTTCTCATAGCATAGATTCAAATACAGTCATTGATTAGCGTATTCTCCAAGCAAATTCTCAACCTTTCGCTGTATTTTGACGTTCACCGTCATGGCCATGTTGACAAGTCAGATCGCAGTAATTCTCTTAGAAGTAATAAAATATAGACATACTTATTTTAAAGAATACTGTTTATGCTCAAACATGATACCAACCTTCCAAGGAAAGGTCACTCCCAATATCCACCGTAATTATTCCCAAGACTTCGTATTATAAGAATTTGTCAACAGTGAAAAAAGTCCCATAACCTGCGGTAACAGTCAGAGAGTTGGCAGCACTGCGTCTAAAGACGGTGGTCATCAGGTATATAGATAAGTGGTTGTCGGCTTCATGGTACGTATTCGTATTTTCAAGAAGATTGGGTATTTCTGGTGGAATACGTTTCCGATTTAATGCATATAAATTCTCATGTTCTATTCCTACGGAAATAGTTGACCTCTGATACGCACACCTTACTTAAGTTCACTCACTTTATTGCAGGTTCTTCTAAACTCGGTTTAAAGAGGTGAGATTTCTTTCTCCCCCCACCTTAACCCAATTGCATTACCAACAAGGTTTGACCTTACTTGCTTCTTTTGTGAAGGCGCGGACCAAGGGGGCAACGGTGAGATGGGGGAAAAGAAGAAACTTAAATGTGCATTCTGTTCTTACACTGGTTTTTATTATTTCCCTTCTTAAATGTTTTATAATAAGCGCCTATGGCCCTGAAAGTAGGCAGCCCACACTACTTGCCCCACCAAGACGTGTTGCTGGATCAGCACCTGATTTTGTGCTTAGTTTATTTTGTTTATGTGCAAAATTCATAGAATTCGAATTGTGATCACAGATCTAAGTAGTGGACATGCAAAAATCAATTACAAGACCAGAACCAGCGGCGTAGCTTGCCCCTCACGTGTCCCATATCAACATTTGTAAGAGGTCCCCTCCCAACTGTGGCGAATCTCAAATTTGATGTATAGATTTTTAAAAAGGAAACAAACGCTTGAATTGAATAATATGAATTGTCAGATATTGACCATGGGCGTCCACAGGAAGTCTTCTTAGTCAGAGGAGGTGAAACATCGGCAATAGATAACTTTCTTTAAAAGTGTACCTACCCTCAAAGCTAGCGTAACAAGCGAGGGGAAGTGGAGTTTTTTGGGGTGGAGTAGTATATGAGAAAATTTTAGAAATTGAGATAATTTTTGTTTTGTTTTGCGATGTCTACAACACGCAAATCCATGTAGGGTCATTTTTGAAAATCGTTGATCAACATGTTTTTGATGCTTTCTGAACATTTTTAAGGATAGTCAAACATCTTTGTGGAAAGCTTACGATTATTAAAAAATTCGAAAATTTGCTTTCATCATTACTGACTGCTTCGGGTTTGAGCATATTCAAAAGCATTATGCGGCTCATATATTTTGTTTCTTTAGCAAGGCTTATATTGACTCATGCAGAATTTGAAAACAGGCATAGGTGAACGCTTGGAAGGTACTTGCCACTATTTTTTCCGAAACCTTTTTCATCAAACCATCCACAACGGAAGACGATTTAAGTATTTCGAAATTTTTAGCCTCTAAAGACAGTATAATGCTTTATAGTCAAAGTTGCAAAGTCCTAAGATGTTTTAATTACTTTTATTATCGAAAAGCTTCTTTCAGCTGTTGCAAGAGGGTTAAAAATTGGAAGAAGGAGAATTTTTAATCTGGCGTATGGCCTAGAAACTTGCGTGAGATTGTGAAAAACACTTTAAGCATTTTTTTTCGTTCATGGGGGCTACTGTAAGCTGGGGCCTCGTATCACTGACACATCAGGAATGGTGTTATGCTTAGATTATGTTCTGATCAAGGCTAGCTCAGCTCAGCGTTGCCCAACCGAAAAACACGAGATCGGTAGATATAGTTTATTCACTGAATCAAAGCATTTAAGTCACAACGTCAAATAATGAGTCACGCACATGCTTGCCACATTAACTAAAACTACTAGATCCTAGGACGTTTTACAAAATCTACTTTGTCTTCGATGCCTTACCGCCAAAACAGAGGAGCTCTGGTTTCCTTGTTACTTATCCCGCAATGCGGTAATGATATTTACAGACATCTACTAACTTCCCTCCTGTGCCGAGTGCCTTAAGTGTACGCATATGTATGATTGGTATGGGGCTCAAAAGTACGTAGAAATAATTTCCTTTAAGTTTATTTTGGTAAAAATCTGAAAATATCTTAAAAAATCATGGAAAATCAGGAGGTTTTCGGTAAATAAGGTTTCATTTCGGTAGAAATACAGAAAAATCGGTAGGTTCGGTAACACTGGCTCAGCTTGTCAGTATGAACTCCAAAGTGAGAAAAATCACTGCTTTGACAGCCTGATCTCTGTTTGGAATGTATCACTCTAACTACGAAACGAACGCAACGGTCTTCAGAACTTTGCACAATAAACTAAGTCATCTTTTTTTACTCCCTGAATCCTCTGTGTCCGTAATTCTAACGCGCCCTGTATATTATGTTGTGACACGTGTTCTCGATGCCATTAAGGTGCTTTCCTGTAAGATAATTTTGTACATAAAATCGAACTGAACGTTAAAACGTCTTGCCTCATAGAGATTTAAGTTGAATTTTTCCTTTTTGCCTGTAAAATAAATTATGATCTATTGTATTATTGTTACCTATAGATGTTATTTTCAGAAACTCTATGTATCTACGCCATGTTTTAATGTTTTATGAAATAAAATATGTTAAAGAATATCGGTTTGTTTCATTTTCTTCATGGTATCAAATAAGATAAGAAAAAATATTAATGTCCTGTCGATCGAAAATGTGGGAGAGAAGTATCTGGGTAGTCAGTAGGACCTTAGCAGTACTTAACCTTGCAGGTTAGTAGGTGTGTTAGGACTATACTACAACTATTTAAAACTGTAATGACTCATACGCGTGATCAACACGTGATCAGAGCTCGATCCCGGCTTCCTTCCAGTACAGCCGTATAGCGTACGACATATGTCGTTTCTCTGGCTTTGCGGTGGTCAACAGCACAGACAGAGATGGAAATAATGGCTGATTGTTCTCCGCCGGTAGAACCAATGAAATCAAAGACGCGCCTCGACCGGCAGACTCATAGGCGTCGGCAACGCATTTTAACGTGTTTCGTTGAGCGATCGCATATTGTGTGTTTTTATAAGAATTGTTGTGTGATTGTTAGTGATGTGGTTTCTGTGGTTACTGTTTTGGTTATACTTAACCATGGAGAGTACAAATGGCACGAGTGGAAGTACTGAAAGCCAGGGAACAAGTAGACGGCTTCGTAAAGCACTGAAGAGGGACGCGAAAGAAATCGTGCTCAACGCGTTCAATTATCTAAACAGAACTATGTCGCGGGGAGATGCACTCGCGCGTTGTGAAAGTATGACAGGCGTTCCAGAGTGGACCATTCGCAGGGTGGTGCATGAAAAGAAGAAAACTGGAGCTACTACTGATCCAAAGTTTTATTTGAAGGGACGAAAGGCCGTTAAATTGGATGACGATAGCAAAATGGCGTTAAGGCGAACCGTACATTCATTCTTCTTTAGGAATGAGATACCAACTCTCAAGGCTGTACATCCAGCGATCAAGGAAAATGAAATTATACCCCAAATGAGCGTCGAGGTAATGAGGAAATCCCTGCACGAAATTAATTTTCGTTACGAAACGCGTAATCGAAAGTCAGTATTGATAGAGAGACCTGAAATAGTCGCCTGGCGTCGAAAATACCTACGCGAAATGATTGAATATAGGCGACAAAGCAGAAAAATCTATTATTTGGACGAGACATGGGTAAATGCAGGTCACACAGTTAAAAAAACCTGGATAGGCAAAAACGTTGTGAGTAACCGACAAGCAAGCATTGAAGGTTTGTCAACAGGTCTTCGTGGACCGTCAGGGAAAGGTCAAAGATTGATCGTAACTCATATTGGTAGCGATAGTGGCTTTTTAGAAGAGTGTG